GGTCACACGTGTTGACCGGCTCCTCGAGCAACGACTTCTCAGAGGAAGTTTCACTCATCGGGTGAAGTTTATTCTTCCACTGAGCTACTTATAGATTGTTGGTAGTGTGAGGTTGTATGAAGTCCAATGCCCAGACTTGACGGAAGTCCACTTGAGGTGGTCTGTGCGGCACACCAGGCTGTGTGGCCTTTGGAAATCCAAGCGACTGTTCACCGGAAAACCCCTTCCACATTCATCGATGCTTTCCGTTCCGTTAATCTCAAACTTTCTTGTGGGTCACCCTTACCACCGTTGTGGTCATTTTCTTAAGGGGTCAAAGGTTGGCTCCAAGAAAGATTCCCCCCGGTCAGCGTTTACTTCTTGGGACGAACTTTTGAAGTTCTCCTCAAGTACTCGACTCGACGCCACTTGGCTGACTCACCAATACAAAGCCTGTGATTATGGGCGCCATGTATTCCCCACCACGCTTAAACATGTTTTAGATGAAATCACGCTGATGAATTTCATTAAACGTCTTGTAAACGAACTTTAGTTTGAGAAACCATATGCGCTGTCTGTCCGCGAATTCGGGATGCCACCGTTGCTGCCAGCAGCCTAATCCACAAGTCTTCAATTTTACATACCTCACCATATCTTGGTGAGCAAAGGAGTTCACTGAATACCTTGTGAGTGCAGTCTTGTCCGATCTGTTCTGGTAGGCCGCTCTCTGGAATAAAGTGGTTATCTTATTGGCGTTGCCCAGAATCCGTAGAAACACCTGTAATGGATTCTGGTAATGCTCAACTAGAACCCGAAAATTAGTTGTATGAACGAGAAAACGGAGAGCACTAACAATGTCTGTTTGTTGAATAAAATTATTACAACAGGTATATATGCAAACAAGGGACTTATCGTGTTGCAGGTACAGGTTGATAAATCCTGTTGTAAGTCCGGCCGTTGTAGCAGCCACACGTATTCCTGAAAATCCGTGAGTGAAGCGCCGTAAGTCCCAGGCGGCTCTGCTCCGAGTTGGGTGACGTGCGAAGCTCCGTTGAGTTATGTTGTGTTGCTGTGCTGTGCTGTTATCCTATATGTAGGAACGTTTGCGTGTGTGTGGGTATCAGCACATGACTTGTTGCTACCGTATCAGACGGTGGACAGTCGATGTCAGATGAGTCACATTTGTGTGTCATGATTTGTACATGCAGGGAAAGAAGGACGAGTCTTGGGATCAAGGGCTTCACTACGAGCTGTGTAGTCAAGTTAGTCACGACTCTGTGGCGTGATATTGTTAGTGAAAAAAGAAAGACAGATCTCGTGATCTAGCGAGTGTCGGTGACCTGTACAGTCAAGTATGTAGCGAAAGGGTGGCTACAATTCCAATACCTTTCATCGACTGATGCATTATCTCCAATGAAAGTAAACAATAAGAACAGACCCGAATATTTCCTGGATTCAATTGACAAAGTCTTGATTGCATCCGCGTGTTTTTAATCCCTTTCCTGGACGTGGTGGAACTTTCAACTGTCAGCTGAATTAAAAACCTCGGTTATTTCGCAGTCGAGCGCACCCAGGAGCCACTACAACATCGAGTCCCTCATCCACGCCATTAGGAACTGGTTCCAGTAGAACATAACGTTGATGGAAACTTGGGGACTGCGTCCTGAGTCCCAAGAAGGGTGAAACCGGCCACGGCTGGTTGTCGAATAGTATTCAGAGACCTCGTGAGTAGATTCATTAGAGACATCATACTGCAATGTATCGAATATCGTATCGACAGAAACACAAAACGGTCATTCTGCAACATATTCGGTTGAATATTAGAATAGGCGAGCTATTCGGTTCGAATCTAATTGAGTCTCCCGTGAAAACCAAACTGGCCTACAAACGAGTGTATTCGAGGAACTGGTGTTCTTTAATCTGGCTCAAACTGAGTAAGAATCACTAGGCACGGTGACGTGTCCCCAGGTAACAACAGAAGCAGTTAAATCGGGAACTCGATGTACGTTGAGTTGGCTTACTTCACCCCACCCTTTAACGATATCTCATTCATTTGGTATTTTGACGGCAAGAGGGCTTCATCAAATAGATATGTGTATCCGAGATCAAGTTAACTTCGATCAAAAGGGATCCACCATTCTGATTGGCTAGCGCAACAGCTTCGCATTTGAAGTGTTAGTCATCCAATGAATTTCGACCAATGAGATCGTGCGTACTGACCTCCTTCAGAAAGCAATCTACAAAAGAAGAAAACATATTGGAATTGGTCACTCATCTGCATACCAATTTGATTTCCTTGTAGAGGGGGACTCACATGGAACCCAATTAAATCTCTCGTCCATTAGGTTCTTAGGCAGTCAGGCCGCCTCAATCGGCACGATATTCAATGCAGTGTACAGGACACTGAAGGATTCAACCGGGTTCCGAGTGCGTATACTGCAAAAAAAAATTGTGTGCAAATAAGGGTATTGGTCGAAGTTGGGTTCAAGTAGAGCATGAATTTGACGAAAACTCGGGGACTTCGCATCAGGAAGTTCAGATTCCTGAGAACAACCACTGAATGCCCGAAATCTATTGAGACCCCCAGCTACGCTAGATGCTGACTAGACAGAACGTCCCCTCAATACGCAGCGCGCCACAGCCTTGTACCAAACCCAGACAGCGCGAGTCAGCGTTGATCAAGATCAGACAACGCCCCCGCAATTTACAGCACGTCACAGCCTCGTACCGAAGCCAGACCGCGTGCGTCAGCATTGGACCAAGTTCAGACAGTGTCCCTCCAATAAATAGCTTGAGAACGTTGTACATTCGCACTCACACGTGCTCACGCTCTCACGCTCGCTTATTCAGAATGTAGCTGTTGTGTTCCCTTCTGTGAGTCTTTTTTCCGGCACTAGGCACTGGAGCGGGTCAGCAATTAGATACAACAGATCGGCGAATCAGCAGATATAACACTTTGCCTACCTGATGAGCCCCAAGAAGAGTGAAACCGGTCGTGCGCTGCTGAAGAGTTTTCAGCGACCTTACGAGTAGCGTAGAGCAGGTCTAAGTTTGGTGTGTGTGTAAAGCCTTCATAATTGTTCCATATTTAAGGATGTTCCTTCTTTGAGGGAGCTACTCGCGGATAAAGACATTTCACGATAGGCGTCAAACAATGAAGGAACAGCAGGGAAGAAATTAGAACAGCCTTTGTGACGTCCAAACTTTATCGGCGAAAGGAAAATTGATGCAATGATTTAGGTACTGAAATTTAGTAAGTAGTCTATGACTAAACCATCAGTTATTTCGTGGACAGCTCAGCTTTCACCAGTGTGTTTATGATATCATACAAATCAAAAATCAGGTTTAGTTTACCCTGACGCTTTTGGTTCAAAAGATAAAGGATTGTTGGAGGCACACAGGATTCGAATTTTGATGACTATCTATCATCTGAAAACTTGCTTGGGTTTTACTTATCCGTAAGCAATATGCCAATTTGAGCTCCAATCGCACAAAATTTGAGCATAACCCTGGAGGAATTGTACCATCTCCATCCACATTAAGACATGTACTGGACTCACGCGTGATCGGATAAATCGGTTAAACAAACGCTTCCACAATGGACGCTTTCCATAGGCTGATTTTGATACCGGGTTTGTCAAATCAAAGTGGATTAAACCGTTCAAGACAGACCCTCTGAAATGCTGGTCTTCGGGGGTCCTCAAAATTATTGGTCCACGTTAGATTTCTGAGGGACTTTATGACTCCCGAGGCCAGTTTCTGACTTTGTGCCTGAGGTGGATATTTACCTCCTACTCGTGAAAGGAAGAATGCCTTCGCTGCGGAGTTATTTATTAGAAAATGCCAACTGAACTGTCACAGACTATTGGACAGGAAAGCAAAACTCTCATATGCATCTTGTTTCCAAAAACTGAACATCCATCTTCTTTTTGAACCCGTCTTTCTCAACTTTTCTGGATATTCGTTGACTGTTGCTGAAATCCAAGCAAATGCTACAAAGCGACTCCACAAATTCCGCAACAGACTTCACTTTTCAAGAGACGCAAAGCGGATTTACGAGAAAACATACTACTCACATGCCCTCCCATCAGTAGTATCACCGCTACACTTGCAACCGTAATTGCTAGAATACTCCACATGTTTTAAGAAATAAACGGGGGTTCAGACTGACTTTTGTTGAGGAGCAAAAACGTACTTGATTTCCAAACTGTCCGAAATTTTTATCCGACTCATTCTAGCTTACTATTGATTCCAGACACAAATCTAGAGGTAAGTGTCAGTGTGGCAGGCCCCCATTTATCCTTTTTTTGTCATCGTTCCTATCGTAATGTTTGCGTATCCTGACAATTTTATTAGCTGTTTATTTTAGCTAATGATGCATAGGACACTGGAAAAGTCAGGATGGAGGCGAGCGACCTTTCAGACATACATAGATTTTTAGGCACGTTTTGACAACCCGGAAGGCTAGTTCCAAAAAGAAGATGTTCCTACCCACAGAAGATACTTTCTGCTTCCTTTTGGAAATAGTTCTCCGTTCTGAAAAGCATTTCATTTGCTCTACGATGTCTCTTCACACGTAAGACATGAATATTCCTTCATCGGCCATTTCAAACTAAAGCTGATTGAACCTGATATTGTAATCTGGGAGGATTTTTTGTGTAGTATCAACTGAGGTGAAAGGAGCATAGCTATCTTAGTTCTCCTGTTAGCAAGACACAATGCGGACAAAATCCCGGGGGGCTCACGGGAGAAACAAAGAAAAAATGTCGTTCTAATAACAAGTTGTAAGTTCATCATCAACATCATCATCATCATCCATCATCATCATCCGAATCATCATCATCATCATCATCATCACCATCATCATCATCATCGACAGCGTGATATCATTGTTCAACACCGATGCTTCACTGCCGCACAAGTTGTAACTTAGCGAAATGCACTCATTTGCAAACAAATGGTAACCTTTCAAATTGTTGTTACTGGTTAGATTGAGCATCTTCGCGAGTTGGATCCATTTTGAACTACTATGAATTACCTATGGATTGAAGAACATTTTGCAACAATCGTGCGTAGTTTTTCTTTTGTTCAGGTTTCGTCCGGTTCTTCATTCATCCACATATTTCTTTAGAAGGAAAATCTATCCGAGTAGCACCTGGAAGAAACAAACAAGTTTGCAAGGTAGGATTTTCTCTGTACAGGGAAACACCTATTTTAGAATTGCTTGGAAACGCAATTTTTTGAGGCGTGAATCCTAGAAAAATTTTCTGGTAATTGATCGGCAAGCATATTGTCGAATCCGGGCGGCTAAGGATCTGACAGTAGGATTGGAGCTATCGGACTACACGCATTTTTTTATCCAGTAGGTAGCAGAGATAAACGGATGAGGACAGTGGATGCCGCATTGAGAACTGGCTCTATGAACGTCATGAATTACACACTCAACAACAGCCCAATCGGTAAGAGTAAAAAAGGGCCAGTGAGGAAGCAGGGCTTCGTGGAAGCAATGGCGAGCAAATACCAAACGACATACAAACTTACGGATACGGGCAGTCAGACAGTGGAAATAGGTCGTATATAGAGATAACGGCACAGAAATCAGTCGGTATGTTCGGGAAGTAACGGATACTGTCTGGGAAACGGGTGTCGGGTGAATTTAGCACAAATTGGATGTACTTGCAGGCTTTAGCTGACATTCAAACGAAGCAGTGTGTGTCATGTGTCAAATCTTGACATTAGTTTTTACTAGAGAGTAAAGGAACTTTGAGAGGGACTAAAAACCCGGAGAACGAGCGGCGTTGGAAAAAACGACTTAAGTCATCTTACTCATGAGTAGTCAGAACAAATAGGAAAATAACCACTGATCGACGGAATCAACATACATCTGGAACACGGTACTCAAGCATTGAACGATACGGCCACAGTACGAGTGGTTGCCAGTGTTAGCTTTGACTCTAACCTGATTTCGTCCTGATAGTTGCGTATGGAGGCTAATGGCGAGATGGCTCAAGTGGCTAGGGAGCGAATTCACCGACCGGAAGGTCCGTGGCTCGAATCCGATCTCTGCCTCTCCACATCCCCGGTTCAGTCTTGGGCAACCTGGAAGTATCCCAGCCCTCGTGCTTCCTTCGGGTGGCATAGCAGCTAGGCACCGAGAGGATGTTACAGCTAAACGGTCTTTTTAAAATCTTTTTTTCGCTTAGTGAGGCGGATGGGTTTGGAACGTAGCTGCCCCTCTGTCACCGGAAACAGGTCAGGATTACATATCAACCAGAGAAATGCAGAAAAAATAAAAGATTGTTTGTACGTTGACAGCCATTGGCAGGTGCGGTGCACAACTCAAATAGTGTATCCAGCACTATGGGGAAATGCTTCATGTGAGGAGATGTCCACTCCAGGACTGCAGAAGAACACCAAACAATCGATCCTGGGGAAAAATCACGTGCAATTTACCGTACCTCAGTAGTCTTAAACACATCCAAGGGCCAGTTTTTGCTTCGTAAATTACATTATCTATACTCGAAAAGCTTTTCCTAGGTCTTCCATACATAACTGACAGCGACAAATCCTGATATCGCGGATCCGATTCGAGTGCCTTTCACACGTTGATAACTTTATCCAACAAAGTTTCTGACTTGCTTTTCAGGGAAGTCCAGCAACCTGCACAGACATGCAGACATTATCATTCCTGTTGTGCCTTAGTTACTGCGAAATAAACACTTGACTGTTTCCACGGCTAGATGATGATTAACTGGGATTAATTGTTCGGTGACTTCAGAAACTCGAACGCCCCACACCTTCATAAACGAGAGATTCAGCTGGGTTCTAGGAGAGTCTCCTGACAAAACCAGATTGGTATGCAAATGAGTGTAATTCGCTAATTTCGTGCAATTTGGGCTGAGTAAAACATAGTATTGACGGAAACCTGAGGGACTGCGCCTACCTGACGAGCCCGCAAAAGGGCGAAACCGGTCGTAGGCTCTGGAAGAGTTTTCAGCGACCGTATGAGTAGTGTATTACGTCTATACATGTATCCTGATATCTCGAATATCATAGCGACTGAAACATGAGACGGCCTGCAGCAGCAAATTCAGTTGCTTAAGAACATCATAAACGAGAGATTAAACTGGATTCAAGACGAGTTTCCTACAAAACCAGACTTGATTGTAAATGAGTGTATTCCGCTAAACACTTGACTGATTCCTTGGCGAGATGGTGACTAGGTGAAGGGGATGACTTCAGGAACTCAAACGCCCTGTACTTTAATCATCAAGGCTACACTATAGACTTGATATTCAGACGAGAATTTTGTCACCCCCAGACGAAATTTAATGCAGAATGAGGATGAATCACTCAGGGTNCATGAATCACTCAGGATATCCTATTTATAATCAAACTGGAGAGCAACAGCCGTTTCTGCAAGTTTTAGTGTGAAGGAAAGTGGTTTGGACCTTCCAAACGGGGATAGGCTGGAAAACGACACATAAGAACTACATAATGAAATCCAAAATTCGATTGAAACATGTACTTAATGAGAGTTCTAAGTGAATTCAAGCTGGGACTGCCGTTAGTACCAGCTCGAATGCCAATGAGCGTTCCTCGGTAAGTTGTCCACAGGATTTGACCATTGTTGACTTTTCCAAAGAAGAAAACTTGAAAACTTGAAAATGCCCAGTTGTTGCGATCGAAACGCCGTCATATTTGCTCATGATACGCTCGAAACGTACACATCATTTGCCACATCAATTCACACGAACCGCCCAACCACTCGTCGGACGTGGAGCTTCAATTATCTCTGATTCACTATCTCGCTGTGCATCGTACCCGACCTCTTTATCAAAGGTCACCTCCAACGTTGCCATGCCAGTCAAAGTATGCCATTAAATTAGGGTTTTAGGAAATTAGCCATCTCCGCCATATTCTCTACAATGCATACGATGCACCGACAGAATTGCGGACTAGCTGCATATCGGAAAGCTGTTGCAGTGGAATAACAGTGGACTCATGTTCGCTCGCCTTTCATGGCCGTTTGTCCCTTGGCAATACCAAATAATGTGGATTTTTCCAAATAACGTGGGCTTTTCCATATACTACTCAAATCATCCTGTTCAGGTACACAGCTCAGGTAGTTAACTCTTTGACAGTCAGAATGATCGATTTATTCCTCCGAGTGACCCTATTTTTGGTGTGCCTGAAGAAGGCTACTTCCAAAGTACCATGTTGTGGATCACATTCTCCTTCTTATTACCTTGGTCTGGATAGCCAAATGATCACCTGGTGCTCTTGGTCAAACCTTCAAAGCCAAAGGCCGCCGAGAAACCAAAGAAGTCCGCCACACTCAAGAAGGCCAAGACGCCCAAGAAGCCGGTGGCTAAGAAGACCCCGAAGAAGAAGTGACCACCTTGATAGTCCTAGCAGTTGACACTGTGTACGGAGGCTAGCCATCCCTACTGACCGAACATCACATCATTTGGATGGATGTGTCACGTGCAGGACACGGGCCAAACGAAGGCATGCCCTGATTGGTCAGAATGCCAGCCAATCCGAGTCAAGCACCTGTGACTCGACGCTTCTCGCCCCCGCACGGAAATTTTGGCACGACCTTGTGGAACACTCTGTGATTACTCTATAAATACAGTTGTAATAATTTTCCTTTGTCTCCATGAGGGGTTGTGTAGGGCTACCGTGCCTTTTGACATACCATAGTGGGCGGAGCAGCAAGCCAAGGGACCGATACAGAGTTGCACTACCGTTTAGCAAGTCACCGCACACTGCTACATAACATTTGCCCGAATCTCGTAGCAAGCCTTCAACGAAGAGATGTAACAAAGTGTTTGAACAACTACCGTTTCAAGTCGCCTTAAAGTGCCACCGAATTTCCAGGACAAGTGTGAGTGGAGTTGGTGCATTGCAAAGCGTTTCACACGCTCGAGAAGGTGACAAACCAAGATGGCTACTCGGTCCCTATTCGACAGGTCAGTGAATATCCATCAACTGGAACAATTTTGTTGGAATGAGATAAAAATGAATTCCTATAACACGGCCTACCTTTACTTAGTTTCTTGACAAGATTCATGTATTCTGAAACTCTACAAGCCTAGCTTCCATGGCAGAATGCCTTGATAATAGCCTTTTTTCAGATGGTTCTCTTCTGGTCGTGACAGTTCAAAATAACCGCCCCGGAAGGGCCTTCCGGTACAGCCCTTGTTACCCGGGTTTTCGAGGTTTGGATTATCTGGCGTCGGGTAAATTTGGTCACGACAGCATCGCTCGAGCAATGTCAGCGAATGGATAACAGCTAGGCTCTTCTGCACATATGTACTGATTCCTCACGAATTCCGGTGTAAAGCCTGTCTATCCTATTGTAAGAGGCATCCACATGACAAATACCTTCGTTTGTACACCATTTCGGTTTCCCTGAATCCCAGCTGAGTCCTCCATTTATGACTTAATTCTTCAACAAGAGATTCAGGTGAGTCACCCTCGAAAACCAAACTGGCATGCAAACGAGTGTAGCTCTCGAACTCTGTGAAATTTTGGTTCAAGTAGAACGCAAAGCTGATGGAAACTCGGGGACTGCGCCTATTTGATGAGCCCAAAGTGGAACGGCGAAACCGGTCGTGGGCTGTCAGAGTTTTCAGCAACCTTATGAATAGTGTGTGTGCTTGTGTGCGTGTGTGTCTGTCACCATCCAGTCCAAAGGGTCAGCAAATGCTTGGTAAGTTATACCAGGTAAAAGAGCGTTTCATGTGACAACCGGTCGGAAGTCTAAATTACTCAAGCCCCTGCGGCAATGAAGCTACTTATCAAGTTCATCCATGACTGCGTTGCACCAATGGAACAGCTGATCCAATGACGAACCAGATGGCACTCTCGTATATGGTTGGTCAGGAGAGCATCACGTGACTGTCTGCACCAACGAGAATACGAGGTCGACATGTATCGAAGATATTTGTTGCGAAAGCCGGATGCAACATCAGACTACTAGGTTTTTCATTTATAAATAAACAAAGCCCCGTATGGCTAAGTCAAATAAATTCAGGCTTTTTATTGGTCACCCCGTGGTGTAATGAGTTGGAAACGTTTTGTGGTTAGAGCAAGACCTCATGAAACTGTCGGGGTTTCCACTCACTTAATTCTGAGACGTTTAGATTTTTGTAATCCCAATTATCTATGAGAACAGTTCCACAACTCCGACAGTCGGTTAGTACTTAAAGGTACACCTCACTTGATTTTTCACTGTTTTGCATTCGTCTGGTCCGCGAACGCCACCTGCTTTCCGATCAGCAAGTGACCTGATTGGTCACTTGGACACCGGACGGTCGTGTCTGGTGTCAGCGGTTGACAGCTTTTGTCAGGCTAAAGCTATTCCGTGAATGAAGAACATTCTAGCATTTCTAGGTGGGATATTGACACATAATTGATTCGCATTTTGTCATCCCGAGAGTGATCACCTTGCCGAGATGCAAAACAGCGCACAGGACCAGTGTACTACCCCTGGGGAATGGCGTATTAATGCCATAGTTCGTAGCGTACAAACGTAGTTGATAACCCGGATAAGTTCTGATCAACTTGATCCTGATCTGTATTCAAGGTAAGTTGTGTTTCACTCTATCGTTGAAGCCTGATGACAGATTAAATCATGGTGATTAAGAGAATGAAAAGCCCTGATGTTTTGTTTTGACGATTGTTATCCATTTCATATTCTACAGACAGGCTGGGGCCTCTGGCATTTTTTATGAACAAGGCAACGCGAAAAAAACACCTTTAATTATTCAGTATTTTTTCTTTTAGTTAATTCATTGTTGCCCACCCGGACTTCAGGACATAGTATTTATGTACTTAATGCCGAAACTACAACGCTATTGATTTTATCCGACGGAACCAAACCATTGAAGAGTTCGAAAAAGACGAGTAAGTTCGGGATCTCTCTGGAGAAGGGTGTTCTTCAAGGAAGACCGGTCTCCGGTGCTCTCCTCTCCTCTCTCTGGAGGGACTACCCCAGTCTGTTTTTTTTTCCCGATTGTTGAGGGGCCTTCTCGTCTGAAGACTGTGAGAAACTTCATCACAATGCGAAAAGTGTAGCGAATTCCGGATTACGGCTTTTTAACCGGTAACATGATTCATGACTCACAGGCGAGGTGCTGAGATGCACGCTGCACGTTTCCGGTTCGGTGCTATTGGTGTCATCCAATGCGCGTGTGTGGACAAGTCCCATGATTGGCTGGTTTGCCAACCAATCACTGCCGTGTATCAATCGAATGACGTCGTTGCGCGAGCAAGTGCTTGCAAAACGAATTTGGCGAGTTGTTCCATGTGTCTCAGCTGAAGCTCGTCAATGTAAAACAAATGGGTGAGGCAGCAGGATCTAATTTACCGCATTCAGCGTGCTGGTCATTGCTTATTTTCCTCACTCTTACGGAATACAACTATGTGCTGCGGGTTAACGCGTATACTGTGGTAAATACATCTGTCTCGGGAAGACAACGATGGCGCTTGGAAGACTCGCCGTTTGTTGTGCGGGGCCAAGATCTATGGATAATGCCCGATGCTACACTGGAACTCGATCCCGGAGTACACGTCTACGTGGATTCAGGTCTTGCTATCAAAGTGAAGGGTACCATGATTGCTCGCGGGATTCAGAGTACGTGTCCATTGGTATACAGGTCCTATGGTTACAATGTTCGTCTAAATTCTGGTTTAACTGAATAACTAGTGAGGGGCACTTTAACAACAATTCGTTTGAGCAACTTCCGGCGTGTTTTTAGCCCGAAACTGGACAAGCTTTGCCACTTTATTCCGGGCATGGTACCGATCAACGAAGTGTGAGTACGGTACGACTCCGAGGGAGATCGGCTCAAATGTTGTCTTTTGTTGTAAAACAACACGAATAGTTGAAATGACACCGGAAGAATTGTCAGATCATGTCTGCAAGTGTGATGAATTTTTCCGATGCTTGATTCTGCTTGCTGACTGAAGTAGAAATGAAGTCTCAACATGAATCCCATCACCTTTAGACTTCGCTGTTTTTGTAACCCCCCCCCCCAAAAAAAAAACATTGTAAACACATTATAAGGGAGGGTCAGCCCTCGGAAAAAAGCATTCTCGGCCGGCTCGCTGAAGTGTACCTCAGAAGTAGCCGGTTTTAGCCAATCTCTTTGGATGTTCTGTACAGCTGCTTTTTCCGATATTGTCGCTTTGAGTGATGGATTTGTTTCCTTCGTTTGATGAGGGTTCAGCGATAGACAAAAAGTCAGGGACCCCAACTAAGCTTACCGTGAAGAAAGACAGCTAACACTTGAATAAACACGACTCAACCTATTGAGAAGGTGCCTACTTGGTAAAAAAAAGACGAGTATTTACTCCGGGAAACTAAATACTTGTACACGGTTTGCTCTCCTCGTGGAACTGTTTCTGACTCCAGCATACTTGGGGCAGTCTATTTCGGTGTTGAAGAACACTTGCGCAACGTTCCTGTACTAGAGAGATTGACCGAGACGCGCTCACCTCACGTGTCAGAAGTCATGGGTCAAGCACACATGTTGCCGATAAGCTCTAATATGATTGTGTCCAGCGGTGTACCCCGTAATCATCCTGTTGGGACAAAGGCGACTCAAGTGAGAGTGGTGGCCTCAAGCAGGATGCGAAGCTCACTGCGTATAACTATCTCCGCTGTTGACTAAACTCCACCTGAGGAGAATACAGTCTACCAGTGTTACCCTCAGGTTGATCAGAAAACTTAACTTGAAGTATGCACAACATATCGTGCAGTTATGTTGCATTTTCACTTGCTATGGCCTCTTCCTGATTCCCCGGTTGCCAAGATTGCGCGTTTGCAAGTGTGTAAACGTAATACACTACTCATAAGGTTGCTGAAAACCCTCTGAGGGATTCAGCTGAGTTCCAGGTGAGTCTCCGGTCAAAACCAGATAAGTCTATTCCGCTAAACTAACGCACTTTTTGGGTGTTAATTTAAAAGGTGTCAAAAACAGACTCCGAGTAGTCCAGATCAAAACTCCCGTATGTGTTCTCCAGCCAAACGCTTCAGCTGAGGCTTGTGAAACTTCAAAGGTTAAACGAGAGAGGTCATGAGCCGCCAAGGAGTCTGCAGCAACATAATGAGTAGTATGCTACGTCTAAACAGTGTACCGCTTTGTCTTGAATTTCGTTCCAACTGGAACATGAGGCGGACTGACGCGGTACGTTTAGTCAAAGAGAGCCCTTGTAAGCGCGAGATTCGGATGTACTCAGTTTAGTCTCCCCTCAAAAACAAATACAGATAAGGAAGCCTTCCAGTATGATGCCCGTGGTAACATAACAGAAGTGGCCACTTACCTGTGACGTGAAAATTTGAACGCGCGCCACAATTTTCGCTCCTTTTAAACCAAACACAGTTGGCAACGAAGTTGGCGGATGATTTCGAGCTCAGTGACATATTGTTGAAAAACGTCACTTTTTTGAGCATACATAAAAGCGAAGGCGATCTTTGGAGCACTGCAAAATTAAATTCAACTGTAAATATCTCCAGTTTGAATGTATCTAACGGGGCGGGTAATTCTTGAAGACTGTTCATAGGTTTTCTAATAAGACTTATCGAAAAAATTCAGTTTTAAGTCAATTCTTCAAGGTCATGTTTTTTCTCTGGAAAGCCAACGAATGAACTTTTCGAGATACTCACCTGAAACACAGCTGAATCTCTCGTTTGTGATGATTCTAGGCAAATGAAGGTGCTGCATTGGGCCGCCTCATGTTTCAGTCGCTCCGAGGATATTCGAGATATCGCGATACATGTATAGACGTAATATACTACTCATAAGGTTGCTGAAAACTCGTCGACAGCCCATGACCGGAAACATCACAAACGAGAGATTCAGCTGGGTTCCAGGTGAGTCTCTCGAAAAACCAAATTAGTTTGCAACTGAGTGTATTTCGCTAAGTTCGTGCAATTTGGTGCCCAGTAGAGCATAAGGTTGACGGAAACTCGAGGACTGCGCCTACCTGATGAGCCTGAGTTAAAAGGACGAAACCGGTCGTAGTTTTAAAACTGTTCTGGTAGTCTCATCTTAATGCACAGGGAGAAGAAATCTGTCACGGTTTTGAATGGGTTAATTACTATATTAGATGGAGATTCAAATTTGAATTCTGATTCGGTTAAATTTCTTTGTTCTGACTGGAAATTGAGAACCCAGAACGAGTGATTGAATAACCAAGTGGTCAACAAATGAATCGTTTTTTCTGTCAGTTATGTAGCTCACAGGTCGAGTGGTATTCAGCTGTGCGTTATCAATCCGTCTGAGTGTCAAATGTGAGTTCTGATCAGTTATCTCCCATTCCGTTCTTTATGGTCGACGTTTCCGGAAACTCACCCAACAAAAGCGGTGTGTAAAATTAATCGATACCGACCCAGGATACTCAAGAAGGAGCAACCTCAATAGAGCCGGACAAAATAGAAACAAAACAAACACCGTATCCACAGACTTCACCATCGGGACTATTTGGTGAGATAAGGCTTCCATCAACAAGACCTCCAAACGAGTTCATTAAAGCTGCAAAGTCTATGGGGTTAAGGGCCGGAGGGCAGCCCGTATTGTAATCACAAAATAATGGTTACTTTGTAAAGTACAAAAGGGTTCGTCAAGTTCTTTAGATCAATAGTTGTCGTTATTCAAGTGCGAAAAATGGACGGTTTTCAAAACACCGGTGTTCAAATTGTCGCTGGTGAGAGCCTTGTCGATCTGGAGTACGCAGATGACATCGCCCTCATCTTTGAAGATCAAAGCGAGGCACAAGCCCTGTTGAATAAACTGACCGCCATCATGCCATCATTTGGCAGGCGCCTTGCATATTCAAAGAGCAAGGTCTTCCTTCAGAGCGTGCCATCTGCGAACATATCCCTCACAATTCAAGGAGAACCACTGGAGATTGTGGAAAGCTTTACATACCTCGGTAGTTGTATTAGCTCTGACGGAAGTGTGTTTGATGAAGTCAGTGCAAGAATCTCAAAGGGGCGAACCACGTTTGCTAATTTGCGTTACTTGTGGCGTCAAAAATACATCTTACCGGATCTTAAGGGTCGTGTGTACCAGGCGACAGTAAGGGCAGTGTTTTTGTATGGGTGCGAGACATGGCCTCTGCGGACAGATGATGTGAGGCGTCTTCAGGTTTTCGACCACCGA